GGGGTTGTTAACCAATGTCATAAAACAATATGTGTACTGACTGTTTAATGAGAAACTATTTGTTCTGTAAACCTTCACCTAAAGTACAATAAAACAAAAATTTTTTTAAAAAAGGAAAGTTTACTATCATAGATAGAAAACCAGTATCACCAGCCATAAATAGAATCACACACAAACCCGTACATGTTAAAATAATCACATAATACATAAACTAACAGTTTTCAACGTTCATCCATATCCTCTTAAAATCACCTCACACACATCAGTGGTGTACAGGCCACACTTTGGGAAACACTGCACTTTGAGAAAGAGCTTTGGGCTTAGGCCTCTGTCGGTGCATAAGAGGAGACAGCTTTTTGAGTTGACCAGTCTATTGACAAAAATTTAATGGATGTCACTGAACTGTATATGTGAAGATTGTTGAAATGTCAAATGTTTTGTTACATATATATTTTACCACAATAAAAAAATAAGTAAAACTAGGCTAGACCCTTAGGTTTGGGGGAGGAATCATAAAGCCCTTAGGGAAAATTCTGAATTATTTTATATCTCTAAGGGGAATCTGTGGGATTTACAATTAACTTTACCCAAAGGATTTGGTTTTTGCCCTTAGTTTCTGAGAGATAACCTCTAAAACCTGGGAATTTCCCCAGTGATTGAAATGTCTTTGACATCTATAGGGCTCCAGATCACATCTGAGGGTTTATGCTAATGAATAACTCTTGAGTGGGGGCTGGCCAGGCCAAAAAGACCCACTACTTGACATCAACCCGACCTCAGGTGTGGGGAGCTGAAAGTTGAGTTCAATCAATCATGCCTACGTGATGAGGCCCCAATAAAGGCTCTAGACAGGGAAGCTCCATGGGCTTCCTGATTGGTGAAAGACAGCAGTGTGTGTGGGAGGGTAGCGAGTCCTTTGGGACACGGATACTCCATATTGGGAACCCTCCCAGACCTTGTCCTATGTGTCTCTTCATTTGTATCCTTTTTCCCGTAATAAAACTGAAATTGTTTAAAAAAAAAAAAAAATTAGTGGGTACCTTCTATGTGTCAGGCTCTGGGCTAGTGCTGGGAGCAGGGTGGTGCCCTGTTCATTTCTGCCCTCTTTGACAGAAGTGGGTGTCCCTCAGGATAGTCACTCCATTTTCACAGAAGGCCGTAAGCCCTGTCATCAACTTCTTGATCGGTAATGTCTGTGGCTGACAACAACACCGGCAATGAAAAACAGTTCTACTTGCCAGGAAGTAGCATCTCAAATTGACCACCATTACCCATCTACCAAGCTGACGTTTAGTAAAAACCATTAAAAGAATGAAGTAGATCTCCATGTATTAACATGAAAAGATGTCCCAGCTATAACATGGCAAGCAAGTTGCAGAAGAGAACATAGAGTGTAAGCCTCTTTGCATTTAAATATGTATATATAGGTTATTTTTTTATAAGCCAGGTTCTGTGTTAAGTGTTTATTTGCATGAAATCATGTAATCTTCACAATAATCCTGGTGAGATATGTGCTATTATTATACCTATTTTACAGATGCAAAAACTGAGGCCTCAAGGGAGTAAAATGATTTGTCTGAGGACTCACAACAAACGAATATATGGTGGACCTGTGAAATAAACTTCAGTCTGCCTGCGCCTGAGACTAGGCCTTTAACCACTACACTCTTCAGCAGCTGTATATAGAAAATCTGGAAGAATGTGCACTAAATTGTTCTCAGTGAGCATATCCCAGAAGTGGCTTGGAGAGGGCTGCATTTCTGTTTCTTAGTATGCTCTGTACTGTTGGAATTTTTTAAAACAGCCATGTGCTAATTTTGTAATTGAAAAACAAAAAACAACAAAACCACTACCAAAGCAAAAACTCTGCCAAGAGAAGTGATCCTTTGAGGAGGATCAGCTGTGCCATATCCTTCCACTCCCCTACGCCTCTCAAGAGGCGTGGGATGTGTGATAGGTGATAGAGGAAAAAAAGATTCTGTGACCAAGGAAGTTTGGGAAACACTGGCTTAAACAAAATTTATCAGGCTTCTTCTCTTGGGAAGACTTTCAGAGCTTTAGCAAGCTAGTGTTGATTGTGAATTAACACAGGGGACAGAGTTTGTAGCTGAAGCCATGTGGATTTGCTCCTAGAATGCTTTCTTTCCAGATGCCTCTTGCAACTCATGTTCTTTGGAACAGGCTTTGGGAATGCAGCTATAGGTACTTTAAACCCAACACTGGGGTTGGTTGTTAAAGGCCACATCCCTGGAAGGTATCTTGGGCCTATCTGTCCCCACCCCACCCAACTCCCTTCAGAAATATTTTCACTGAATTGAGTTTGTCCTTAAAGCCATTAGCTTACGTAGTGGAGCACAGCAGCCCTTCAGAGCTCACATATGCTCTATTAATCAAGTTGTGCATGATTTCCAAGTGTCTTCTGTAGATATCAAAACCAAGATACTTGGCTCCTCCTGAATAAATTTTTTGTTTTTGAACGTGGATATGTTTTCTTCTTTGCGCTGGTTGCTAGGAAGCTCAGGGCGAAGTTGTCATTTATGTAGTAAGTGCATAGAATTTTGAGGTTAACATTTTATGTTCTAACCTCATATTGGTCCATTTTATGCTTCTATCCCTGTGCTGTCTTTATCTCATCTTTCTCTCCTAGTTCTAACTTATGTCATCATAATATTGTATTTTCTGCTTTCTTATCAGCCCCCTTAATTCTTTTTTTCTCAGGGGTGGGGAGGAGATAGGGGGTGAACAGATAAATGGGTAGCTGGAAAGAGAAACAGCATCTAATAACATGTGTTGGATGGGGAGGAAGGGAATGTGTGTCTATAGGTAGCTACTTGTGAGTGTGTATGTGGGTTTATATGATCCAGCATGTGTTGTGTGTATAGTTCCTGCCTCTGAATATGTTGTTGTGTTGGGTGCCATCCAATCGATAGCAACCCCATGTGACAGAGTAGAACTACCCCATCGGGTTTTCTTGGCTGTAATCTTTGTGGAAGCAGATTGCTAGGTCTTTCTCCCGAGGAGCTGCTGGGTCGATTCAAACTGCTAACCTTCCAGTTAACAGCTGAGTGCTTAACTGTTGCACCACCAGGGCTCCTTGCCTCTGAACATATGTGCACACACAAATTTCCCCATGATAATACCTATTGTATTTTGGATAGGGAGATGCATGTGTGTGTGTACATGTGTATATGTGTATGAACCTGTATGTGGACCCTCCACTGAGGTAGACCCAATGGCCTAGCCCAGAATGTAGCCTGCCTAAGTTCTCACACCCACTATACACAGGAAACAAGCTTATATGCAAAGCCACACCACAAGTGTGAGGGAATGGGTGGTTCACTGGCCTGACAAGGTGCTGAGTGGGTGTAATTCTGGGTGAGGACAGCCCTCCCTCTCGTGCACCATTTGCAGGAGGAGGGAGTGCCCATCCTCCATTAAGCATCTACTATGTATCAGGTACTACCTAGGGTACACCACAGTCATTATTGTCTCTTCATTTCCCACAAGCACACTGTAAGGGAGGAATTTATCATTGCCTCTTTACAGATAAGTAAACTAAAGTTCGGAGAGGTGAAGCCACATACCCAAGGAAATGGCAGAACCGGAAAGGTACCTGGGTCCACCTGACTCTGACACACATGTTGTTTGCACTACACTACTGTCTCGCTTTGGCCTTGCTCTGAGGACTCTGACCTCATGACACCCAGGGAATAGAGCCCAGGGATAGTGACCTTGGCTTCATGTCCTAGGCACTCTCCAAAGCAGGCCTTTGTTCTTCTCAGAACAGCCCTGGCTCTTCCAGGAAGCCTCTCAGATCCCCCGAAGGGAAGTCTTCTCCCCTCCTCTGAATCCTCAGCCCCTTTTCTGCCCCATCACTTAGCCCTTTCTCTCTTTGAGAAGAGCCTCTCTTCCTGCACCCCACATGTGAGAGACACTGTTGACTCATTTACCAGCCCTGGGCTGAGCGGAGGGGACTGTTCTTGTCCAGGGTGTGGATGAGCCCCTCTGAAGCACAGAGTGAGCAGCATGTCCCCCAGTTGCCACATGAGGCTGTAGGCCTGGGTACAGGGAAAGGCTGGGATGTGCTGAAAATTGTATGTCTAGAAAATCTGCGGTGGTGGAACTCTGGAATGTTTGGCTGAGGTGGGGACTCCCCCAAGAAACTGATGGCTCAGAGCTGGAAAGAGAGGGGGTTGGCAGGTAGCTGACTATGTCTTCCTGGGCTTCCACCTCTCTCAGGTTTGAAGTGGGAATCAGCAAGACCAACTGGCCCTACACATGCAGCTGCAGTGTATGGGGCTGAAGCAGAAGGGAGCAAGAGGACAGTGTCCTGCGATACTTGGCAGAGGCAGGAATGGCAACTTTCCAGATGGAAGTTCAGAAGTTCCTTGCCCAGGAGCAACTGCACCTCTTTTGGGGATAAAAACAGCCCTTCTTCTCTCCTTTTCCCGTCATCCTCTCTCCCTTTTAACTTCCCAAAGTCAGACCACATATTTCCACCTTGGAGACTCCATCCCAGATGATAAATGTCCAACTGCTCCAGCCAGGAGACTCCTCCCTCTCTCAAGCAGTGCTGGTCAGTGAGAGCTAAAACAACTTCTCACGTGTCCATCTGGTTGCCCTGGCTGACTCCTCTCTCTCTCAGGAGATCTGGTCACTAGGTCTTCCCAGGAACCAGAAGATTCGTAGGTCCCCCTGACTCAAGCCTGTCCATCCCTCTGCACCATGGGGGGCAGGAAGGGGTCACAGTCTAGGCTACCACTCTCTTCTAGGGCATTCTAGTCCTGGCTCAGCCACTGCCATGGGACTATAGAAGAGTGTCTTGCCCTCTCTGGGCCTCAGGAGCCTCATCCTTCACATAAGGGACTGGGCTTGGTGATTTCTGAAGGCTTTTTTAATAGCTCACAGTCCATGTTCCGGATCTTCCAAGAACATGCTCCCAGTGAAGTAGGGGCTGATGGCGCATAGTGTGGCAGGGGCAAGAGCCACCAGCTACGCAGAGAAGAGGTGATCCAGTCACACTCCATGCCTCCCACCTGACCACCAGCAAGGTTTCTCTGTCCCCCAGCCTGAAGGGCTGCTGCACACCTTGGGCCAGGTTGCTGCCTCCTGCTATCAGAACCCCAACCAGAGCCTGTAGGCCCTTGTTCCCAGTGCTCCTTACCTGCCCAGCCCAGGAGCCCTCTGGCCCTATTCACATGGTCCTCCTGGCCCAGCCTGGTTGCCCAGACACGGTGTTAGCTTCCCTCGCCGTCGTAGTCACCGCCTGTCTCCCCGCGCCCACGTCCTACCCTGACTTCCTGCCTCCTCCTGAGTGCTCCTCAACCAACCCAGCCCCAGCAGCCCAACCACAAGCCTCCAGCAGCCTAACCTTCCTGCTGCCGTAGCCCTCCACCCCTCAGCCCTGGGGGTCCCACACATCTCCAGGGGCAGGCCCTACTCACCCTGAGAGTAGATACTTGGAGGATAAAAGTTGAGGGAGGATGTTTGATGGAACCTCCCCTCCTCCCCTCCAGAGTGCACCTGGGCAAGAGATTCAAGGACAGCCTTTGAGCCCAGTGAGCAGGGGGCAATCAGCCTACAGTGAAAGGCAGGCAGCTCCACTGTTACAGTCTGAGAGCTGAGTGACCCTTTTGTTACCGTCTGAGGTCAAGGTAGGATCGCTTCAGAGTCAGAGGAGAAGACCATATTGCTGTTAAGTAGCTGCCGGGCAGAACAATACCCCTGTTACAGTATGACGGCAGGCTAACAACACCCATCTCATACTCAGGGGACAGGACGATAGCTTTATTAGAGTCAGAGTGTCAGCTAACACCCCTCCTACAGACAGAATGCTGGACAATAGCCTGTTTCAGAAGCAGGCAGGACAACTCCACACCTTCAAGAGGGTAGAGAAACAGTCCTTGTTGTAGGCAGAGGGCAAAACCAAAACCAAACCCACTGCTATCAAATCAATTCTGAATCCTGGTGTCCCCGTATGTGTCAGGGTAGAACTGTGCTCCATAGGGTTTTCAATGGCTTTTTCAGAAGCAAATCACCAGGCCTTTCTTCTAAGGAGTCTCTGGGCAGACTTGAACCTCCAACCTTTTGGTAAGCTGCCGAGCACCTTAACTGTTTGCACCACCCAGGGACTCCCAAGGACAGGGCAGCACCCACAAATTATGACTGAAAAATAGAGCGGCAGTTCTAATTCAGGTAGAATCAAGGCCACAGCCCCTGTTAGACGTGTAGGGTCTGGCACTACCTCCTGTATCAGGTAGAAGATAGAACAAAAACTCCTGCCCAGGCACCCAGGTGCAGCCCTCAGACTGGTGGGACTTTCTGTTATAGACAGGAGGCAGGATCCTTGTTACAAGCAGCAGGCAGGTCAAAAAGCTCCAAGCGGAGAGTGGCACCCATGATAGGCTGAGGGCTGGGCCTTGACTTTACCAGAGGAAAGTGTGAATGCGTCACCACCTCCTGAGCCTCAGGTCTGCTCAGGCAGGGGGAGGGGAACCCACAGAGTATTGTTGGGGTCTGTGAGGTGGAAGTTGATGCTGTGTGCACCTCAGCTGCAAGAGAAGGGGAGGACAGGAAATGGGTGGGGGAAGAGGAAGCCGGAGTTGGAAAGTCAGACAAAGAGGGTAACATAGAAACAAAGGTTGAGAGATACAAAGTAAGAAACCTCCAGAATGACACACAGTCCGAACCCCCGCCTGGTACAGGGCTGAGGTCTCAGCTGGCCTTGCTGTATGACCCTGAGCACTTCACAGTCCATCTCTGGGCCTCAGCCCAGTAGTAATAATACTACTGGGTGACAGTAATGATAAGCAATGGATAGTTCACATTTTTTGAGGACTGTGCATTATCTTACTTAAGCTATACTTGATTATTTATGGAGTGAGAATTAGCATCTCTATTTTAGAGGCAAGGAAACAGCTTCAGGGGTTAAGGGATCTCCTCACTTCTAATTTAGGTAGAGGTGAGGTCTAATAGAAATAAAAGGGGGAGCTGGCTTTTAACCCAGGTCTACCAGATCTTGCATTCTATAGCCTCCCAATTTTACCAGGTGGGGGTGACTTAGGATTTTAAGTTCTTTCTCAGTTCTGATCTTGATATGATCTAGAGGGGGAGAGAGCTGGAGCTGGAGGTCTGGAGCAGATGAGGAGCCATCAGTCCAACC